ACCTTATGGGGCAAGGGCCAGAAGACATTTTTCTACCAACTATAGTTATTGGCACAGCTGCATTCTGCAAAATGAATTTTAGTTTCTTGTTGAGGCTTACCCTGACAGACATTCCTTCTTGGGGCTTGATTAAGTTTGAACTTGCACATACTAGTTTATTGCATGTCTTTTTAAAGAAAATTTTCAAGGAATTAGTGTGTTGAGATTGGAAATGGTGTTTTTTTAAAGAAGATGCGACTCTAGTTACCGGTTTCTGTCAGGAACTGAAATAAATAACACTTCCTCGGCAGTGTCACATAGGCTAGGTGTGACACTGTACGAATTGCACATACTAAAAAGTGAAATCTGCTTGCCTTAAAATTCAGAGGGCTTTTCTAAGATTCTCTGTATAGTAAAGGGGGTTTCCATCCAAAAATAATTAAAAACACTACTCAGATATTGCTTGTGAGATGTCTGAGTATTTAGCTGGAGAGACTGGATGACTGTGATCGTGACTGCTCTCTGCATCAGTGACTGTGCCCAGCTTTTTGTTTTCATGGGGCTTGAGGGGATGTGGGAAAGGTGCAGTTTGGAAGAGCTGGACACTGCATATCAAACCAAAGATAAGGGTGCTCCTTTGAAGTGTCCAGTTTTGTGTTCAGAGTTTAGGCAAATCCGGGTCATGTCAGCTGAGTTAGGCGAGTCCAACTCTTTCAAAAATATGGGCCATTGCTCAGCATCCTGAAATGAGTGAATATTTGGGGGGTCGGGATTAATATTTCATTTTAGTGTGATCTGTGTCAATACAATCCTCCTGAGAGCGTGGAGATAACTGATGAATGTGTGGCAAATGCTTACTCTGAGAGGTGCCCCTTTTCTTCTTCCTATCTCTGACTGCCAAGAGAAAATAGAACTGACATATTCTCTTTGCTCCTTCCCTAACAAAAAAAATCCCTAATTTGTCACAGCTTCATCTTCTCTTACTGGGCTCATCTCACAGGTAATCCAGCCCTTGAACTTTTGCTTTTACCCATGGGAAGATATCAAGAGTACTTGTAACATTTGTTTTTCACAAGATGCACCTCACTTACCCAGTGGATTCTCCATTTGCACACAGGTTTCAGATCTCCCCTGGACTGTGGCCTCACCCTGATTTCTGGGCATTAGGATCTGGTGGTCCTCACCTCTGCCTTGGAGACCTCAGGGATGCAGTGAGTAATAAACTTTTGAAGTTTGTTTTTTAACCATGTATCTCCTGAAATGTTGATTTGCTTAGGAACACAAGTGCAACCTACAGAGCAGCCAGTGCTTAGCCCTGGTGTAATTTCTGTGTTAGTGGAAGCTTGGAGGTATTGAGTGTTTCATCATCCTCTGGAATACCAGCTTTTATGGCTTTTTTAACATTCAGAGTAGTACATAAGCAAAAATAGCAGAAATGAGTGCAATAGAAAAATAACAATTTTGTCCATGTAGATACTGCAGTTTGCATAAGCAGAAGACATGATCCCACATCCAAGAAAAATTAGGTGTGTTTTTGATGGAAAACTGTCTTTTCCCTAATGCATTCTGTTTTGAAGCATCTGTTTGACTTGCAAGGCAATTCACAGCAGTAGGGCCATGGAATGCCCAGCACACACATATAGGACGTGCCTGTGATGGTGCAGAACACCTTCGATGTACACCCAGCCCCGAGCCAACCTGGAGGAAATCCTGTGCACCTCCACAGAATGGAGGAGGAGGCTGTGCAGGCTCAGTCCTGTAAGTTTTTCCCATTGTGCCTGCCTGAAGTTCTGGCAGAATCTGTCCTGTATCATTAAATTACAGGGAAGTTTCACAACTGGGCAAAGAGCTGTTGTTTGCCATTTTAGGAACAGCTGTATTTAAGTGATGGGTAAGACTCGATACATGTTGTACTTCACAGGTGTCACAGCATCTGTGTTTGTAGAATATTTTTTACTTCTTGAAGATGCAAGGCAGTGTGTCATTTTTGTCATATTCAACTAAAAATATATTTTAAAACACTGCGTGTGGAGTTTGTCATACACAGATCCAAGGAAACCGAATCCTTCCCTCCACCAAGAAATTTCTATGTAAAATCTCCAGGGAAGTTCCTTGCCATGATACTGCTCTGGCACAGTCCTACCCAGAAAGAAAGATGTGGCCATTCAGTTTGCTGCCTGATCCAGGCCCTTTTGAATTTGTCAAAGCTCCCCTTGGCTGCAGCACCCACCACAGCAGATCCTCAGCCATTGGCCCCACAGTGCTCTTGCCAGCAAACGTTGGTGACATTTTCAGTCTGTGGGAGCAGAGTGGTGACTGCACCACTTGGGAAGCCAAGGTAATTGTTACATGGAGAGGGACTGGATAGCTCTGACCTGTCCTGCATCCAGCCTCACACCTTGCTGGGGAATGTCCCCACCTTGGAGGGGCTCCAGGCCCTCTTCTCCCCTGCTGTGGAATCACAGTGCCCTTGAGAGCACACAGCATTCCCCTTCCTCCTGGGAGCCCAGGGACACTCAGTCTTTGGAAATCCTCCGGAGGCTTTGGGTGGAAGGTGCTCAGAGATTGCAAAATGGTTGTTCTGTGCTGTCCAAGAGCCTGTTCATTAGTAAGGCTTTTAATTATATAACAACCCTGCTTTAAAACTGTCTGCTTCCCTATAACATCACAGAAATAGCAGATTTGGTTGGCCCTGTGCCTTTTTAAAAGTGACTGTCGAGGTACTTATTAACATCAGTTCCAAGACATTTTTCAGTGAGCAGTGAGAGTTGGAATATGGAAATGTCATATTTTTCCTAGTATTAAACAGTTGTTAAACTAGAAGCATAACTCTTGCCAGATAGTTATTTCTTGTGCCTGTCGTCTTCATAGAAGGAAAATGAACATGCATTTTTCTTTCATTAAGTATTTTAAAGTTCATCCTTGTTTGGTGATCTAAGTCAATTAAAATAAGTTTATGAGCAGCATGTGAGAGCAGAAGACTGATTAATTTTAGGTGTTGGATAAAACACATTCTTTTCTGGTTCTGTCTGCTAATGAGTATTACTAATACCCATAATAACAGACCTTACAGAAAATAGTATTACACAGAGTTTATGGTTCTTTACAAATAATTATCTCAATATCTTTATGAATTAACAAACTACTATTTTTGTGGGAAAATATATATTAAGGCAACATTACATCAGCTGCACCTAGAGAAAAGAGTCTTTAAGATCGTTATCACAGCAAATAAGAGCATCCTTTAGAAATGGTTAATAAAAGTTCACCTTTTTTTCAACAGGGGTGAATATTTTTAACTCTCTCACCTAACACTGCACCTGAAACTGAAGTCCAGATATATTAAAGACAGGCAGTGAAATCCCTGGAACATACTCAGGGTTTCCAGAAACTTGCCACTATTTGGATCTCTCTTTCTTCTTAGAGTCTCTGGAATCAGCTGTAAGTGTAGGTTCTTCATCCAAAATTCCCTGTTGTTGGAGTTGGTTGGGTCTGTGGGGTAGTTTGGGCTTTTCACTACTGTGAATCATCCTTTTAGTGCCAGACTGGTCCTTTGAACTGGTTTTGCTGTACCATCCAGCATAAAGAGTTGCTACTCTGAAAAGTTATGTTGTTTTAATCCTTCCACTTCAAAGTAAATGCTTACAAAAGTGTCACTTTGAAGTCAATCACACAATGCACAGCTTTCCTCCAATTATGTTATGTAATATGGTTCTGTTGATATAAGCATAGGGTTTATTTTACACAGAAAGCACTTCCTGAGAGGTGACTGCACAACTCACAGGTTGCTGAAATGGCACAGAATTTTAGCCAAAGCTCCAGTGCAAGTTCTTGGCTCTTAGGAAGAATACTGAGGTCTCTGACTGCATGCACAAAGATGATGTTTATTTTTAAATATTTTATCTAAGAACCAGAGGCACGGGGTAGGGTGTTTTTCAGAGGATTATTCTGAGAGCAATTGACTTTAAAACCCTTCAGTACATAGAGAAGACTGTCAGGCTTTCTGCTGGAGAGCTTTCCCAAAGGATTTCTTTGACAGTGGTCAGGGAGCAGCTTCTGCTACCAGTCGTGCACAGTTGACATGGGTGAGATATTGAAATCTCTGAAGCTGTTCCTTCAGTGTGGCCTACAAAGAATATTACAGTGTGTATCCTGTTTGGCCTACAAGGGCATTGAGGTTCCAAGATGTGAAATACGGGGTTGGACAGTGTTTCCTCCACCACAGTGGTCTCAGCGTGGTTAGAGTCACACCAGTCCTGCACCATGTGCAGCTCCCAGCAACCAGTGACCTCTTTCTGCACATGGGCTCAGGCCCCTGCAGTGAAATGATCTTTGACATTGATGGTACAGGCTTTTATAGTTAGCACATTGATATCTAATTTGGTCAGACATCTGCATTCTCCTTCCTTCTCTGCTTCATTTAAAAATGTTTGTTCCTTGAAGGAGCTAATACCTCTCTCTACCTGTCTCTCCAATGCTCTTAACACTCAAGTCAATCCAAAAAAATCTGTTCTTTTACTCTGCTTTCCTCTTGCCTGTCTCTTTTGAGTGAGGGTCCTGCCCTGGGCCGTAGTGGAACTGTGGTAGTAAAAGTGAATGGGAAAGCTGCTGCTGTGCATGGTTCTCCTTGAGAAGGAAGCTGCTCTCGGCTTTTCCCTGTGCTCTCTCCCACCTTATAATCGTTTCAGTGTGCAGCAAAATGCCATTGAGATGGGTGTGGTTTGTCTTGCTCCTCTCTTTTCAGGTCCCCACATCAGTGATGCTGAAAGCCAGGGCAGATGGCTTCAGTCCCCTGCAGTGTGACCTTCGGGGTAAGATCTGCTTTCCTTTCTCTGCATGGGACTGATGGGTGCATCAGTTATTGTGTTCCTTAGTTGACTTAGCAAAAGGGAAGTTAGCTGATTGAATTATATGGTACCTTTTACTTTAAAGGTTTACTTATTTATTTAAGCAGTATTTATACTACAATACTGACTGATTCCTCAGATTTCCACTTCTTTAGATCTGCCCTGAATGTGTTGTCCGCCAAACCATGTGGTGGGGAATAACAACCCCCTCAAACTGCAGCACAGGTTTGAGGTGACAGTAGTTGGTGCTGTAGTGGCAGCTCTGCTAACCCCCCTGAGCAAGGTGTATGTGGTCCAGCAGGGTCTGTTGGTCTGGTGCTCAATTCAGAGCTGGGTTATGCTCAATCAGGACTAGTGTGGTGTTTGAGTAGGCCGCAACAGTTCCTCAGTCTTGAGAAATCCTTTGTTCAGTCTTAGGGATTTACTCATGTGGGACTTGGGAAATTCAGTTAGAGAGCCTCAGCTCTTCCCCATTAGGATAATAGAGGAATATCTAGGAGCATGCTGTACAATCCTTCTAAGTCAGTATCCTCTCTGTGAGTCATAGCAGTGCCTGTTCCCAAAGTGACAGACTGGTTTGATAGGATACAGTTGTGTCAGAGTTGGAAGTACACAAGTGCAGTTATTAAAAATGAATGCTGTATCCTCTTTCCCTCGTGTATCTTGTCACTGACATGACTTCACAAGTTGCAGATCTATTAAACATTTCAAACATGAAACTAGAGCTCATTAAGCAGAATGTTGTCTGGTATATAGCAAACTGTTTCAAATTCAAGACTGATAATATTTGTCTCCAGAGCTTTTTGTCTTCTAGGTTGTCACCAAGCAATCCAGCTGTCTGGGAATACAGCTTGTGCTTCATCTGATCAGAGTCTGACTGTCCTTTGGGGTGAGGTAGTAGGTTGTATAGTTTTAGGGCTATGCCCTGCCTGTCACATAACTATACAATCTACTGTCTTTCCTGAAGTGGCTGTGATGCCAGCGCTGGATGTGCCTTTGAAAGACAACACAGAGATTTTGCAACTGTAACATTCCCTGGCTCTGCCTGTACATTGCATTTGGCTCTTGTACACAAATGTCCTTACAGTGTTTAGATTCCTCTATTTCCCATTCAGACCCAAAAGCCATTTCCTTTCTGTGGTTTTCTCAGAGAAGGGGGGGTGTGAGTGAGCCCTTTTCCCAGTCTGCAGTGGACTTGCTCATGCCCAGCGTTCCTGCGCTGCCATGAGAGTGACCCTCTGGAAACAGCTGACCCACTTCTCCTTTACCTTCTGGCATTTGTGTCCATGGTCAACAGAAAATGCCACTTTGGAGTCAGCAGCTGTTTAAATCCACTTTGTGTCGGCTGTTTGAGAAACTGCAAAGGGACGAGCTGGACAAAAACCAAGGAGGATATCTTCCAGTCGCTCGTGTTCTGCCCTGGAACTGGTAAATGCTTGAGCCCTAAGTGAGAGATCTCTTTAATCAGTTTTGGATCCTGATTTCACTTGCTTTTTGTTACATATTGCTAATTTGGGAGGGACAGTGTTTGCACTGCAGTTGTGATGTCTCTGGAGTCACCTCACCCATTCTGACTGACTTCCAGTGGAACTGTGAGGAAGGGTCAGCAGGCCACAGTTACAGAAGTGGGTGGGACAGAACGTGTGTGCAAATGGTGAAATGTTGGTTTCCTTCAGAAGATGTACATGATGCTCTAGCAGGATGAGGTAGTAGGTTGTGTGGTTTCAGGGTAGTGATTTTGCCCCAATCAGGAGATAACTATACAACCTACTGCCTTCCCTGATAAGCAGCATAACAACACCAGTGTCTTAATTCGCAGAGAAATGAGAGCTAAAATATACTGAGACGTACTTCTGAGACAGCAAAGTAAGTCTAGATACAGTTGTTGTTATCCTGTCACTAATTGCTCTACATTTAGATTTTAAATGTAGATTTTTAGTAACTGCCTGCAAAATAATTATCCTTTTAAAAGTCTTTATCATGAAAAATTGAATTAAAGAATTTTTAAGTATTTCAAAGTTTGTCTGCTCTCAATCTGTTTTGTTTCTGATTCATTTGAATGGAATGAAGCTATTATGGGAAAAATGCTGCAAAGTTGCATTCAGGATGTTTGTATTTCCTTGACATCTGAGTGCAACAAATTTTACTAGCAATGCATTGGTTTTGTTCAACTTCCCCCTCCCTCAGGAATCTTACAGTGTTTTACAAATAGTACCAGATGAGTCGCGTGACTTCTTCAGCAGGTAGGCTGTAATAGTGAAAATCGAGAATGAGAACTAAAAACCCAAAAACCAGACTGGTCCCTTAGTTTCTCATAAGCAGGCTCATTTCATGACTTTTAATGACCCCCAAAGAGAATTCTCTGCTATCTGAGAGGCACAAACCGCACCTGGAAATCCATGGACAGAAAATATTGGGTCCATTAAAGATATTTTGAGAACATGAACTTACACCATAAATCTGTGGAAGAGGGGAAACATAATGGCAAGGTGATGGGTTTGGTTGCACACACAGAACTTGTTCTCCCACATGCAAAATATACCCAAAAATAGGAGAAAAGGCAGTTTAATCCTTCCTTTACACAGCAAGACAGGTTCTTTTAACATCTGCTTTTGATGACAAAAACATCTCACTTGTGGAACTGTTAAAACACAGTTTGCAGCACTGGGGGATCTGGGAGGTTTCAGTGGAATGCTGGACTTTACAGACCTTCCTGGGCAGATTATTCCCTTGTGGAAGCATACACACTCTTCTCTCTGGCTTCAGCCTGGGTTTGGTACTGTCTCTCTCACATCTGGTAAAAAACTACCCTGCGAGCTTGACAAATGGTGTTGCAGCAGTGACTATGTGAAAATCAGATGGGCAATCCCATAGGTCCTATTTTTATTTAGGTTTGGCTTGCTGGCTTGTTCTGGTGACCTCTGCTGAGGTTCGGCGTAGGATACCCGTGGTTACCACGTGGTAACTTATTTCCCCTGAAGTTTCAACATGTTCACAACTTTGGTTGTATTTTCTTTTTCTCTCCCTTTTTCTCCTGTTTACCATGGGTAAAATGAAATGATTGATGGCCCAGGATTCAATGATTCACCTTTTATTTCCCTGTCCTACCAAATCTTAGAGTCTGAGTTTGGAAGTTCAAATGGACAAATAAGTTTCCATTTCATTCCCCTTTGCAATTCAGCTTTTCCAAAGCTTAATAGGTTTTAACTGTAGCACAAAGAAACCTTATAAATACATTACATTTCAGACATTCATCATGTTCTACTGTCTGGCAGAAAAAAGAAAAAGTGATCATTCACATTTTTTTATCAAAACTTGAGTAAAATGAGTATTAGAAAAGTCTCCCTCAGAAAGCCTCCACTTTAGGGTTAGACCTTTTCACACTAGAGCAAGGAAAAAGATTTTATTGTTTTGAATGTGATAGTATATCCCTAGCTCAAGCTCTTCCCAGGTTTCCAGTGGCGGAGCTGCGTCTGCGTGAGCTGGGTGAGTAGGTGAGCTCACAGGCAGCTCAGATGGCTCTGGGAGGGCTGGTCCTGCCCGAGCTCCTTGGCAGGACTGGGAGACAGCTCCGGGGCAGCTGGGAGACAGGCTGTGGTTTGGCCACGTGTGGGCCAAGCAGGTGTGACTTGGTTTTTACAGATGATGCCGGGGAAGCAAACACCTCGACGTGAGCGACGCCTGGGCTGTGCTCCAAGCCGTGATACACGAACCGTGTGCCTCATCCCACAGGTTATTCCCCCAAAGGTAGGTAGGTGCACTTTTTCCCAAAAAGTACTTTAAGTAGTTTTGCCGCTGTTCAAGGCCAAAGAACTGTAAGAACTCTTTTTTGGTGGTTTTTCTGTGCTCTGGGTTGGCAGCAGACCATGTTTTTCAGCAGCAGCAACACGGAGGATATGTTACTCACTGGATACTTGGAGTTTCTCCTTAGTTTAGGTCCCCTGATGGCTGAGGGAGGGAGAGGATTGGAGCCCGGCAGGGCCAGGGCAGAGGGCATGGGCTGTGGGGCAGGGTGAGCCCCTTCCCTGCAGCACAGCAGGGGAAGGAAGGCTGTTCCCCTCCCTGGTGAGGAAGGTGGGCTCAGCCCGAGGGCGGATGGGGCCAGGCTGCGGCTGCCTTCCCAGCCCTGGCCCCACTTCTCCCGTCTAAAGCTTCTCCACACTGATTTACAGCTCCCTCTGAGTGCCTGGGATGGAATTAGAGCCCCTTGTATTACACGGTGCCTTCCCTGTTATTCTTGCTGCACGCCACAGATTTATGATGGCTTTTAAGCCAGGCAGCACATAAAGAAATACGATCTTAACAAAATGTAGAAGGGACCAAAGGAGGTCAAAGTGTGGGAGCTGAACACTATATGGTGATCCAGGATTTCCTTTTATTTACTGCTCACACCTTTTCAATCTCCAGTGGATTTTGGCTGTCTCAGGCAGCCCTACCCTCCATAATCCTCTTTACCATCAGCGGATGTCATTTATTACAATTTAGCACATGTAGGAAATCCTAAAATGCCATTGGTGAATTAAATGAATTTTAGACAAAGTGCCAGAAAGACACACAGCATCAGGGTAGGTAGGAACCCCACACTGATCCGAGCAGGCTTTCTGTCTTGTGCCATCTCTTGCTGTGGCATCAACCTGGCAGAGCTCCTCTGCTTTTGGTGCTGAAGGAGAATCCTTTGTCTTTCAGGGAGGCATGGAGCAAAAGCTGTGCCTAATTTCATTGATAGGACTGAGGGACAAGGAAAGAAGTGCTGTAAGCAATTCTACTCTACAGCATTATCAATTATTCCTAAACTGTAGAACAGAGGAAAAATACAGGCCCTGCCCTTCCCCTGCAGATGAATAAAGTGAGCCCTTGCCCCAGGTGCAGGATGGCTGGAGCACAGGGCAGAGCTGCACGGAGTCACCTGTGGGACCGTGGCCTGCACTGAACACTCTGGGTCGGGCTGCACATCCAAACAGCTGCCAGGAGGGAGGGAAGCTGTAATTACAGCCAACAACTGACTCCTGAGCCGGTGCCTGCTGCTGACATCCTGGTCTTGAACCAGAAGCCAGGAACAGGAGTTTTTTTCTCCTAGGTCAGGGCAGTAATGCCCTCCAGCTACAGTATCATTCCCTCCATTAGTAAGACAAGGTCTGGTGTGCTCCCTTTCATTCAGATTTATTATCATTATCTCTCTATCTGAGGAAAGAAATTTGTCTTCCCTCTGATTACAGCCTAGGGCTATAGCAAGGCTCCCATGGCCTGGGGTGTTTGGTGAGTTTATTTGGCAGGTGGGGAGGGGAAATGTTCTTTTTGAAAGGCACACAACAGTTCAAATAATAATTCATCTGCTCTTCTAAATTTTCAGAGCAACATCCTCTCCAGTTCTCCTGCTGCTTGTTGCTGGTCCCATTGTAAGCCCTTTCTAGAGCAAGGAAAGTTAAACCAGGCCAGTCCTTAGATGCTCTTTGGGAATTTGAGAGGCTACTAGTCCGCATTTGAAGCACCTTTCCCTTACAAGTCTGGACTCCTGTAAGACAGACGTCAGCACTGACAGTCAACACAAAACTGCCTCCTCTTCTGCAGGCAGATTTGCTTGACTGAGTTGAGAGGTGATTCGTGTTCATGAAGTTAGCTGCACCTCTTTAGTTTTCTTTTAGCACAGGTTATGGTTAAAGACAAACTAGTTGCTGGACATAATTTGGAGGAGGTTTGTTGCTCTGCTCTGTCACCCACTGCTGCTGCCATTTCTTTCCCAGGTGCCAGCTCCTGAAAGCCTGGGCTTTGCCCAAGGAGGTCACCACTGTGGGGCTTCTCCTGAGATATCTGGTCTCCTTCAAAGTGGCATCCACAGGAGGGTGAGTGATGTCACTTTTTCCTCCCACTAGCCTTGGGACCTTCGTGTTCCCCAGCTGTTTTTCAACTCATTACTGAATTTCTCATGCTTATGTCCTCACAGTATGTGCTGTTTATCATGACATCAAAACCAATAGCTTTTGGAAACATTAACACTACAGCATGTCTTTAGTGTAACATCTAAATCAGGCGGTTCTTGTGTCTTTTGAATAAGCTGTAGCACTGATAAAGTGACGTATGGCAAGACCTGGTACAATATGAACACGCTACCTCCTTTTGTCCTCAGTGTTGTTCTGATGACTTGCCTCATCAGGAGATCCTGTGGTTTTGCTAAGTGGTTGTTCTCATCTTAGTCTTTCCCTATTGATGGTGTGGAAAAGGTGAGCAGGAACAACTAGATCCTGCCTCATGCAGCAACAGGCCTAGAGAAGGGCAGATTTGAAGTGATCAAAAAGAGCTGCTTTTGCCCAGGCTGTTGTGGTTAACCACTGGAGATGTGGAATGTGCTGTGGTGCCCTCGGCAGCTCATTGAGCTGTCAGAGTGTGAGGGGCACATGGGGATGAGCACAGTATATGTAGCACTCCTGCCTCAGCTAAGGATGGATCCTTGGAAGGACAGTCTCATTTTTTGAAAGGACTTTTTCAGTTAAGTTTAGAAGTTGTGAAGGGGTTTTTTTTATGGCAGGAGCACTGGTTTGAAAGAGTTTTGGCAAGAAGCTGTCACAGTGCTGCACTTGCTTTCCTTTGGATGGTTTTCTCTTTGGTAGGTTTTCTTTGCAGGAGTGACTTGGCTTGAGAGGAACGTTGTGGAGATAAAGCTGCTGTATTTGTGGGGGTCCCCCAGTTTGGCCAGGGTTAGACTTGCAGCTGAAAGAAGTCTGAGCTAACAGCAGACTTTGCTAGGGGTAATCAGTTAGTTTACTAGTTAGTAATTTTTGCATTGTATCTCCTTGCCTTTATAATAAAAGGCTTATGCAAGAGTCATGAAGATGTTCCTCTGATTCTGCTTTTCCTGTCATGAGCCTCTCACCCTTGATTTGTGTGCTCAATTATAACCATTCCAGTGGGACACATTACTCAGATTTTATGATAGAATGAAAGTATAAAGTCACAGCCTAAACTGTATTGCACTTCTTGCTGGGCTTGTAATGCATATTTAAATAAAGAAAGGTCAAAACACTGCACCAGCATAGAAAGGGGCATGTGATGTCTTTATGTGTAGAACAGGGATCATCCTGTGTGCTTCTGTGCCAAGGCTTTAGCACATTTAAGGGCACAAAACCGGACCTATCTATTTAGCATGGCGAGGATATGTTGTAACAACAGTCAGCTACTGGAGAGGGGAGGGACTGAACCTTTTGCACTTGCTGTAGCTCTGTGCCTCACAGTTCAGGGGAACACCGACTCCTCTTTCCTATATACACAAAGACAGACCTTACTGCTGACAACAGAATAACAGAAATTTATCATCAGTTCTAAACGCTGAAAATGTTCTGCCTTCTTGGGGTGGAAGAGATCCAGAAACAGCCAAAACCTCTGAAACATAGCTATAGTTTTCTACTTTGTAGCTACAAGCAGAAAATAGCCCTGAATCAATACTGAAGGCCTGAAAACAGTGCTCTGGGTGTAGAGCGTATTTCATCCCAACCAGGGACTGCAGGAAACCTTGATTATACAGCAATAAATGCTGTGGGCTCCAGAGCCAAGGAAAAGGCTAATCAAAAGCAAACTTATGTATATAAATATAAATCTGGTGATACAGTCTCTCGCTCTTGCATCTGAAATATATATATAGGCCTCTTCCTGGAGACACCAAATGATTTAGACTTCAGTTTCCCTTAAGAAGCCTCTCAACTGCTGGTATCCAGTGCTAACCAAGGGCACCAGTCTCCCGTTGCTTTACATGCCCAGCGTTATCAGCTCCTCAGTTCTGGGCCTCATTTAAGACCAGGTGGTGGCAGGAGAAGCTGCTGTGACTGGTCAGCACGGATAATTTTTTACTCTCCCTTGTATGGTGTAGAGCAACAGGTGTTGATATTATTAGGTTTCGCTGGAGGCATTTTGGAGAGAAATCACATTAGGCCTGAATCAAACAATGAAAAACAGAGTAATGTCTCCATGGGTCACAAGAACACGTGGAAGAAATGACAGTTTATGTAAGCAGCAATAATGTGTCAGCTTTCTCTGAAAGGGCTGCATAAACATGTAAAATGCAAACAATGAGGACAATATAACTAATTGGCTTAATAGACACTGTAAAGCAACACAAGACGGGCTACCAAGAGAGGCTGATGTGGTGCAAGGAGGGACATTTGACAGCCTGTACGAGTAAGGAGTCTCTCAGACTCTGGTGGGTTTTTCTGTGAGAAGCTATGCTTGAAGGAGGTTCTCAGAAGTGACTAAATCAGAGCATTAGGAAATCAGTCTGTTAAAAAAAGTACAAATTGATTAGTGATTACAGAATGGGGTTAGTAATCTGTTGCAGTGAGCCGTGCAGTCAGCCGGTCTGACTGAGGCGTGAGGGGAGAGCTCAAGGGAAAACCTGTGCTGTGGGCACCTGGCAGAGGGGCTGCTGCCCCCCAGTCCCATTTAATGTTTTGGGACACAGGTGAGATGTCTCTCTTTTCAGTGAGACACAGGTGTAGTGCCAAGCACACGCATACATGCTTTACCCACATGCAGATGTTTGGGGCTGCTGGGGACGTGGAAGCTTGAACCGTGCTGGACTCGTGTCACCCCTGTGTGCTGAGTCACCCCTCCTTCTACATCCCTAAAACAGAGAACCAGACACGCCTGCAGCTGCCAGGGTTGTGGTGTTACCCTGCCAGTGACACCCAGGGCACATCCTCAGCCACCATACATCGTCCTCAAACTACTGAAACACTGGTTGATCTAGGGCCCTTTTAAAGCTGTGTGACAGCTTTACCTGTGATATCAGTAGGCAGCACTGCAGACTGTATCTCCAGTAGCATCTGAACCACTTGTTTTCCTGGAACATCTGTTTTCAGCTGGAGGAGGAGGGATGGAGACAACACTCTTACTCATATAGCCAGGCAGCTAAAACACGCTGAAAATCAGAGAAATGACAGTCCTCCACCAGCCCACAGCCTCTGGATCCGGGGGGCATGGACTTTGTCATGTGGAGCAGTCAGCTACAGATTAACAGGGAAAAGAATACTTTCTGTCCTGCATACCACAGAATTATGCAGTTATTTCTTTCTTCAACTGCTTTTCTGGTTCACTTCCAGTTCTCAGAAGAATCTCAGCCAGGCTGAATATGAATTTCAGCTGAACCAAAATCTTTGCTGGTTCAATACCCTTTTCTTGTTGTGATACACAAATTAACTAGGAATTACGATTGATGAGTACAAAGATCATTTTTTTGCTCTCATAGTGTTATCTGTTCCAACTCCTAAGTCTTCCTGTTTATTGGAGCAACAGTGAGGGATGATCAGAACATGTATTCTATGTAAGCAAGGTACAACATGAGAAAGACAGTAAACAACCCCTGCAAGCACCTCTTACAAATCTGGGAGATGTATATTATGCATAACAGAGGCCTATATAGAGACAAAGCAGGAGTAGACACCATCAACTTTGGATGTTTTGAAGCCCAAATGTTACAATCTGGACTGAAACTCTGCGACTCAAACCTGCCCCTGCTGAGGCCAGCATTTGTTTTGAAAATCTAAAATGAGCTGAACCCCAATTTCTATTTACAAAAGATGAATTTAATTTTTCAACCACCACCCTGCCACACCAAAAATACTGGGAACAAATTATCAATTATTAAAACATTAATTATCAATTACTAAAACACATCCAAAGTACTAAAAGTATCTTTTTAACTGGAAATTTGACCACCAAGCCTACGTTGGAGAATCTCTTCCCCATAACTGTTTTGGCATTTAAAGCTACTTGCAAAGTTAGCAAATAAATTCTCACAAAGTGCTGTGCTGCAAAGGTAGGTATTGTTACTACTGTTATTATTAATGTGCTCTTACAGGGAAACAGGGCCAAAGGAATTCAAGTGTTCTGGCACAGAGAGATTTGACCCCAGCTTCCCCCCGTGCTGACAGCACTGGAGCGTGTCATGGGCACAGCCAGCCCCTCCTGCCCCGAGAGCCGCCCAGCCGGCAGTGCCCCGGGCTTTGGTGGAGCATCGCTGCTCCTGGGGGAGGGCTCAGGTAAATTACAGCCGGGAACCTTTGAGAGCCAACCAAAACAGCCCCGAAATATCCCCTGCCCCCACGGCCAGCAGCGGCGAGGCTGCCGCAGGAGGGAGCGCAGCCATCCCACTATAAATAGCAACTCCACTAAAATTAGACAGAACTGGCAGCTCCCGGCCGTGAATGGGAGCTCTGTTAATATGCTCATCAGGTACTGGAAGGGCTCCAAGTCTGACAAGGCATGCTATGGCACAAATGTTCTGTGCCTGGAAAAATGAGCAGGAATGGCTCATGAATAGGCCTGGCATGTTTTCCTAACTGGATAATAATGTGACAGACTGCCTGGTTATATTTGAAGGAGTCCTGCAAGTAGGGATATTTCTTTCTCCATGTTTCTTATTGCATGGCTTTGTTTATGCCAATAGAAGATGCTGTTAAATCTAATGAATAAAGAAAGGTGGGAAATCATTTAGGGGAAAATTAACACCCAAGTTAAACCAAATTGAGTAACAGTGTAAGTTTATAGTATGTAACTGCTTTTGGATGTTTTCGTTCAGAAACGTTTCAGGGCTCTCTGCCCTCCTCCATGGTGATTTACTGAACAGTGAATAAAAGTATGAGTTGATGGTACACCAGGTGCTCGGTACTAACTGACCTGTTCCCCTGCTGTGGAAACACCAAAAATGCTATTTGGCTTTCTCCAGTTCAAAACAGACCCTATAGCAGTGCCATTATGGTCACAAAATGGCAGAGAAACTTCAACTGCTCAGATGATGTATGCCGACCTTTTTTCCTAGGCATAGCACCATTGAAATCCAATCACCTCTGCACCT